AGATAGGAAATATCATATTCTACATAGTGTTTATCCCCATAGTTCATATCAACTAAAATTGACTGATCTCCTGTTATCTCATGGTTAAATTGTCATTGACACTACAAATTTAAGCACTTTCTGCTCATTTTCGTCCCACTGGTATCTCACCTCCACAATACTGTCCAACAGAAATAAAATGATTCGAACTGTACTATTGACAATGATATTAGAAGAAAACAATTAGATTATGGTTTTATACTCATATTTTCAGGCTATATTGGAACAAAATAAAGCCAAGTCGTTAGTGAATGAATGTTCACGCGAATCCTAAAGATTTTCCACATCTATTTCGATGGATTTAATTTAATATATGTCTGCCCTAAAGATGCTAGACAGAATATTAAAAGTTCTCTGTTAAATATTGATCCATTATGTTTTATTTAAACCACTATCTAAATGATTTAAAAAGTTAAATATATCTATTTGGATATTCTGAAACAATAAACTAAATCTATTTTCTTTTAGTTTTCGTTACAAGACTGGCTGACTGAAAACCAAATAAAATTGAAAATTACCTGAAAATATTGGTGGATTGTCTAAAACACCTAAAATTAACTTGTCCCCTAGCTTGGTTTATTTATGTTATAAAGCTTACAGCTACTTACGTAACAACTTTTCCAACAATAACATTTAGGAACTCCGTTTTAAAATAATATTTGTAGACACAAACAACTATAGAACATCACCATACATAGTTGATTGATAGGGAAAACTTATTATATCTCTAAATTTTATTTTTGTTAGCATTAGTTATTGTCGTCACTACCGTCCTTCAAGTCAAGTTGGAAGAAGTCCATATTTGCGGTCTTTGTTTTTCACAATAAAAAAATCAGCCAATGTTTCATAATGTTTCTGCTCCAATGAAAATTAAATAAGTACTTGTGTTTAAAAAACTCGAACTTAATAGTTTGACAACTTCCTTTTTCGAACAAAATAGTTAAACCAAATCTTACTATATAAAACTATAAGCTAGAAGCAAACAATGAATTGTTTATGCACAAACCAAAAAGGACGAAGAAAACAATGAAGGAAAATATAACAACTAAGACCTAATCAAATTTTCTTGAACTGTGGCTATTAAAACCTAATCACTGTTAGTCTAAAAAAGTTACCGTGGACCTCACTTTTATCTCTTTATTCGCTCTAGTGGTCCATACATTTTCCTTGCTTATAGCCTTTAAACCCATATACGGCTTTGATTCTCGTACGTAGTTGTTTAGATCAATTTTGAATCAAAAATGTAAATCGAACCCAAGAGGCTTCAATTTCATAACCGAATCAGTACCATTTCTAATGGCTTATCCGAATAATGGTTTTACTCGCAGCACGATTCAAATTAATAATGTATATGTTATTCAGTTTAAGTTTATATAGTATTTAAGTTCGTCACGGCTTAACATGAATTTTTAGATGTATACGTCGTATGTATATGCACCTTATAGATATAGCTTTTATATAAATAGCATCATAGATATTTAGTAACATATACAATTAGTAACATATAAAAATAATAAATAGATAAAAGAAGTTATTGGGATCATAAAACGGGAACACAACAGTTGCGAAAATGGAATAAAAAAGGTTACAACAAAGCAAAATCTCATATGCTTGGAGGCTTGGAGCATATACCTTTGTGCATGGTCAAGCATATCAGTTTCACTCAGTTACCATTAATCTCATATCTTTTATTTTCTGGATCCAAAGATCTCTCCTCAACTTTTACAATTTCTTGGAATTAGTTTGTCTCTCCAATTTATCTATCTATATTTATTGACGATTCCCTCTTTGATTCGTCGCCAGGAATCCATGTTCATTCTCTGATGTTCACATTATTGTTTTCTTTTCTTTTCTTTTCTTATACTATATATTTCTCTATTCAATTTTTATATGACAAGATAACATTCATTAAGAATAACTGCAGTCTCTTCAGTGTATATTGGCATGCTTTTAAAAAGAAAAGAAAAAACTAACCATTGTAACATTGACATGCTATGATGCATGATTTATCATCGATATGATTTTTTTAACACAATATAAACTTGTCTTTTTGTTGTAATTTACTGGTTTGTAATTCATAATTTGGACTCGGTAACTTTATACCATCTGAAAATGATTAAAAAAATCAATACTTTCTATGTTCAAATGGAAAAAAAAAATATAAAATGCTTTCAAAAATCGACTGACATAAAACCGGCCATATATGATAATATACCGGCCAAAACATCAGGAAAACGTTAATTAGCTAGATTTTAAACATGTAGTCAGTCAGATTTCCGGCAAATAAATTATAAGAATATGATGATAAACCGGCCATAACAAACTAGGGGAAAATCTTCCTTTTGGTTCGTTTTGGCTTCATTTTTAAAGAAATGTTATTCTCTCTCTGTTCATAATAAATTTCCGTTGTAGAAAAAAAATGTCATTACAAAATAAGTGTCGTGTTTGATTTTCAATACAAAATTTATTATTTTATTTTTTAATTTATTTTTTTATTGGTTAAAATATGGTTAGATGTATAGATAATTGTGTTTTATATAAAAAATATATAAAATTAATTGTTTTCTTAATCCGTGTACACAATTCTAAAACGACATTTACAATGAAACAGAAGTCATTAAAACATAGGGGGACATTTTAAGTATCTAAGACCACCTCCATTGGGGGTTCTTCCCCTTGAGTTCCTAAAATATGCATTATGTATGTATATATGTATATATATATATTATATAAGTATAAATATTTGTTGGATCCATAATTTTTGTGGAACCCCATAGACAAAGGTTCTTAAAATAGGATTTTGGAACCTTTGGCTATGGGTTTCCACAAAAATTATGAATCCCATAAATACTTATACTTATATAATATATACATACATATATAAAACATATTTTAGGAACTCCAAAGGGAGGAACCCCCAATGGAGATGCTCTAAGGTCATCAAAGTCTACTACTTAGAAAGTCAAAATAAACATTGATATAAGTGGGATGCTTCTACTGTTCACAGTGACACGTGATGGTCCGTGATTAAATTAGTTTTTAATTTTTTTTTTTTTAAAAAACAGATAAAATTAAAAAAAAGAAAGAAAAGTACTAATAAGCACCCCCACGTAAGTGGTTGTGCGTTAATGATGGCCTAACTCTCATACACCGATTATACTATGTATTATGTAAGGTAAAAGTGTAATAGTGGAGACACATTAATGTCGAAGAGAAGAAAAATAGTTTACCTGATAGATGAATCCACTTGGAAATTGATGAAGTTTCGCGGCGATCGAGGATGAGGTACCCCATCATCACTTGACCGATTGATTATTTGAAGTACAGAAAAACCTTTTGGTGGACATAAATTTCTGAATCAACTTTTCCTCTTTCAGTTTTAAAATTGACTGACAATATATATGACGTATTGCTACCCATTAATCATTACACTTGATCCAACGATTTATTACGTTGTAAGTTGCATTATTTTTTTTGCTGAAAGTTGCAATTTTTTTATCACCAACATAAGTTATAGTACAGGATGTTGCATTTCAACTCCGTCGCCAGTACTATTTGTTGGGTTTACAGCTAGCTCTGCGATTGGCCTACCCAAATCGGATTAGATGAGCATAACTAATTTCCAAAAAGCATACATTTATTGTAAAACTCATACTCTCATATTAAATGTTACAATATAATTTTCCGTTAGAAAATAAATATTCTTTTCGGTTTTATATGCAAAATTTATTAATTTTATTATATAATTTATTTTTTTAGTAGTTGAAATATGATTAAATATATAGATAATTGTATTTTTATATATAAAATATGTAAAATTAATTTTTTTATTAATCCATGTGGACAAGGCTAAATTGACATTTATAATAAAATAGATGGAATACAGTTGATGTAATTTATTCAAAGTATCCTTGTTAATTGTTACGTACACAAGCTGAGGAGAGTTATTTCTTATTTAAGCCTACCTATAATCTCGAAACGTGATCAAATATCATGTCTAATTCGAATTAGTTCTAGCTAGTTTTGACTAACTGAACACAAACATTCAATCTTTAAAACAAATGGAACTCTATACTTAGATAACTTTTAACATTTTTAGAAAATTAGTGTTCTTAAACAATACAAATACACATTTTAGCCTTAATAATAAATATAATGAGAAAAGCCACAAATGACAGATTGTGAACTCATAATGGGAAAGGCATAAAATAAAAAATAAAAAATAAAAAGCAAGTAACAAATAAGAGAAGATTTTTCAGAGCCTACAAGTTAGAAAAGTTTGTTTTGAGTTACGTAATACGTTATGCATTTACGAATATACTACATTCTTGTTTTATTTTATGTTTGTTTGTGAGGGGAGAGGATTGAAACACGACTGAAGAGAGAAGGAGCAGACAGTTGAAGACAGATCTTATCTTTATCCCTCCCACGACTCTTTTCTTCGGAAACACAAAGCTATCTGTTCTTTTGTATAAAGTAATTATTATCCTGAACATATTTTATCATTTCACGTAAAATACCCAGAGATTTCGAAATTTTATGAACTATACGTAGACATTAATGAGATGTGTCATGCACGTGATGAAAAAAGTAAATAAGGAAAGGCTGTACATAGAAATCTTCTTGGTTAAGAGACAAAAGATCTTTTCAAGGCGTTGGTCCATGCATGTATCTGCCTTTCTTTTTTCATTATTTTCTACCTTAGAGCAGCTCCATTCATGAGGACCCTAATGGGGTACTTAAGTTTAAATTAGTGTTTAATATAGTGATTTGACAGTTATAGAACCTCTAATAATCAGTTTATTTTTTTCATCCTCCATTAGTAGAACCTCATTGAGGTACTTAAAAAAAAAAATTTAAAACATATATCAATCATTCATCTATCCCAACTTTCACACCAATGTCACACATTCAAAATCACATTCTTTCTTTCATTCAGGGAAACACAACACATACCAAGTCTAAGCTGCTTGAAACTTCAACGGCAGTGTGAAGGTTTGATACCCGTGATTCAATGAGCTGCACACACAAACCAATCAAACATATATCAATCATTCATCTATCCCAACTTTCAGTTTGACTAACAGAGCCGCAATATGCAGTTCCTAACCTGATACATGGAGTTCAAAGCGAGCAAGGATGACTCTTGGGACATAATCCCACTGGAATAAGTAAGTAACATATACTTTATCCATGGAATCGCACAAGCTAAAACCGCACCCTTGCAGGGAAAGAACGTATAAAAATCACCACAGATTCCACAAACACATAAACAGATCATAAAATACACAAAATATATCTTTAAATGTCACCTTGATTGTAGTATTGGTAGAAGAGAGTTTAGAAGCTTGAGTACTTCAGCTGAATTCAACTTAGCAACCGACTTAGCAATCACCTGCAAACAAACACACATAAATGGCAGAACTAAGAACAATGAATCAAGCAATTAAAATAAAAGAAGTAAAAGAAAAAAGACAGAACACTATCTTATAAACCTGTTCATCACGGTTGTACAAGCAATCAAGTAGAAGAGACCGATCATCAGCATGCAAAGCTTGTCTCAGAAGAACATTAACAGAAGCTGCAGTAGGAGGCTTATCATTACTCTCCTCATTGCTAAGTTTCTCTCCTCCTAATAAGTTAAGACTCTCAAACTTATCACCCATTGTTGGCTCGTTATTAGCATCGTCTACTAACGCTCCATATCTATCCTCATCAACACCTACCATAATATATAAACACGAAACCCTAATGTAAGTTTTGAGCCAATCAAAATCTCGACAAAAAAAAACAGTAACTTTTGTTCACCGGAATCACAAGTCTCTCTTGTTGAAGGCACATCGGGATCAGGTTCAGATCGCTTCCTGTTCTTCTTATTCTTCTTATGCTTCTTCTCTCTGGGAGGAGTCTCGGCGATTTCACCTGTTGAATTCACAGAAAAAAAAGATGATGAAATTGAGCAATCGGTTAACAAAAGGAGATAGAGAGTGAGGCAAACCGGCCCAGAGACGAAGAGAGACGATGGAGAGATCGAGAGAGAAGAGAAGAGAGTCGACGGAGAAAAAAATCTCTCTTCATGCGGTCCAATGACAAAGTGCCACGTAAGGCTCCCTAACAATCCCCAAACTCCCCTTTTCAGTATCGCTCCTCTCCTTTTTCTTATTTTTTCTTATTTTTTCATTTATTTTTTTTTGGTTTTTCTTTAGGACCTTGGCCCAAGGACCCCTTGATGGACCTGGTCTTACTATTTGTGGTATTATTCATTTCTTCCTACTCTATGAAATTTGTAGGGTCACAAATTCAAATTATAACGAAAATCAAACACAGAGTATTATAAGAAAATTATGTAAAACCAAAAAATAAAGAAAACTACATGTAGTTATTTTGCTTACCGTAATGCCAATGTCGGTACGTATGTCAAAATCTAACATAATTAAGAATGAAGTAATTGGATGATAATTTGTTGGGTGGTATGGAATGCACGTGCTTAATAAGTTAGTAGTAAGCTAGAAAATGAAGGACATTGCGTTAACATGTGCCTCATCCCGACAAAGAAAATACCACAAGTAAATATAAATATGTATACTATATAAATAAACAAAATGTATAAAGCCATTTACAAAAAAACAGAACCAAAATTGTGAATCTACACACCCCTAAACTACAAGGAAATAACAATACATACATGAAAAGAAATAATAACCCACTTTTCATATAGTTTGTATGTTAAGAATACGGAGAAATTTTTACATTTATATCAGGAATACTAAATTGATTTTAGTTTTCTATGGACGTCATATATATATAAGTCCCATATTAAAGCCCAAATTATACACACTAGAAACACATATCTTACATATTTACATATATTTGATTTATTTTAGAATTATAGATAGTTTTATCTTTCTTTGTAACATATATACATATATTTGTTCAAAAACACATATATATACACACACACATTATACATATAAATAGAGGCAGATACATGTAACCTCCCTAAAGGAGCATTTGATCTCTCAAACAAATATTTGCCATTTATCTCTCTCTCAACAATATTCTCCATCTCTTTCTCTCTCATTCAAATGTCAATAAACCAATACTCAAGCGAGTTCCACTACCATTCTCTTTTGTGGCAACAACAGCAGCAACACCACCAAAACGAAGTCATGGAGGAAAAAGAAGCTCTTTTCGAGAAACCCTTAACTCCAAGTGACGTGGGAAAACTAAACCGCCTCGTCATCCCAAAACAGCACGCCGAGAGATACTTCCCTCTAGCCGCCGCCGCCGTAGACGCCGTGGAGAAAGGATTACTCCTCTGCTTCGAGGACGAGGAAGGTAAGCCATGGAGATTCAGATACTCGTATTGGAACAGTAGCCAGAGTTACGTTTTGACCAAAGGATGGAGCAGATATGTTAAGGAGAAGCAACTTGACGCCGGCGACGTCGTTCTTTTTCATCGCCACCGCGCTGACGGTGGAAAGTTTTTCATTGGCTGGAGAAGACGTGGTGACTCTTCCTCCTCCTCTGACTCTTATCGGCATCTTCAATCCAATGCCTCGCTCCAAAATTATTCTCATGAAGGTATCCTTTTGTTTAATTCTATAATTATGGTTTTTTTTCTTCCTTTAATAACGTAGAGATTTGTGTAAATAGGAAAATCAATACCAACTACAATGATAATCTTAGTGAACCATATAGTTAATAAATAACTAATCCACTAGATATTAGTAAATTTAAGCATAGTCCATTTTGTCAATATGAATGCATTTTCAAACGGACATATTGGGTATCTAACGACTCATGTGACATTTTCTCTTTAAAAAAAAGTAATATAAAACTATAGTGAAATATTTTTCATGTATGTTTCAAAAAAAGAAAAAAAATCATGTAATATATGGAGTTACGTGAACAAGTGAATGAGTTTGTAATGGGCGCGTGAGAGTAGACACTCTTTAAAGTAAGAAGAGAAGTAAAAATAAAGAAATGATGGAAGCCCAGAGAAAAAGAATCGGATTCGTATTATCAACGCTGCGTGACATTTGTTGCGTATCCTTACACCTACTCTTTATCTATTTTCATGTCATATGAGTTATATATACTTATACATTCTCTATATACTCAACATATATTAACCAGTATCTTGGACCGTAACCAAAAACCGGCATGCGCTTGCTACATGTTCCTAATATTACCACTCACTGAAACTCTATCTAAGACATACGTCCAACACCCATCATGAAAATAGTCTAGAGTATATACATTTGTTTGGAAAAAAAATATATCTACGGGCTACAAGTGTGATAAGGATTTGAACTGTAAATGTAATTCGCAAATAAGTATATGATTTATGCAAAATGAAAAGCATATGATATAAAAAACTTGACGTGTCATTGTGGTAAAGCTTGTCATCTGAGTACCAAAATGGAAAACATTTTCTTATAAAAGTGTTATTCCTTTTGGGAAATTACATGTCATAAAGTCTATGTGGTTATCCATTATAGATTCGTAATACCTTTTCTGATTAAAGAAAACTCAAATCTCAGTTTTTACATTAACTGCGATCTTAATTAATTGGATGTCAGGTGCTCAAGCGGTGGAGAACCAGAGAGGGAACTCCAAGACATTGAGACTTTTCGGAGTGAACATGGAGTGCCAGATAGACTCGGACTGGTCCGAGCCATCCACACCTGACGGTTTCACCACATGTCCAACCAATCACAACCAGTTTCATATCTACCCTGAACAACACTATCCTTCACCGTACTACATGGTACGTTTCAATTCTTATATTATTATACTAATAAACAAATAACTCAATACATTTTCGTTTTGTTAAAAGTCTAAGTAGAGTAGTTATAGACCACAAGTAAATGTCCATATTATAAGAGCACCTCCAATGGTGTTATCCACCATTGGAGTCCTTAGGATTAGATTAATATTTGTTCTATTTTGGGGAATAGTTAAGGACCCTAATGAAAAATGTATCTCCAATGGTGTTTCTAGTATAGAATCCTTAAATAGTAAAACATGTAAATTTAAAATTTTGACTTGGATGATTAATAGCTGAGAAACCAAACAAAAGAAGTAGGAGAAAGGAAAGATGGTAAAAACTTTGGTTAAGTTGCAAAGATCATATGTGAAACCAGTGGTCGTCAACCATGCAACTTAAAAGAGGCTACAACAGATAAGAGAATCAGTAGATTAGAAAACATGTTAGATCCTAGAAACGGCAGAGATTCATTCTCAAATACACAAACTAGTTTTTTTGCAAACGATAAGGCTCACCTTTCTCCAAGGAGTGTCAAACCCTCTCCAAAGTACCTATCATCAAACTTCAGGCCATCGGTTCCTGTCAAAGTAGTCATCACAACTTCTTTACCGGTAGTTTAGAGTCTCCTAAAACAAAAGCTTAAACATCACACCACAGACGAGGTACACATCTACCATATAAAAGGTTTTCATATTTAACTTCTAAACAAGCTTCCAACGTAAACTCCCTGGTGCCACACAACAAGAAACAAGAATACATCAAAACTTTATTCATCAGTCTTCAACAACGGTTGCACAGCTTCCCACATCTTCTTCGTCTGAGCCTGCAACAACAAGACAAATTACTAACACTAAGAGAGACCTTTGTTACTGAAATGAATTAGAGTCAGCTTCTGCAACAACAAAGACAAATCACTAACATCTTCTTCTTCTGAACCTGCAATAACAAGCTCGCTTGTGTGCCGGAGTCTCAGCTTCTGCAAGATCCTTTTCATGAGGAACTGAGAGACTGAACCTCCTCTTAGCTGCACCTGTTTGCTCACGGTTAGAAACTTTTGCAGCCTTCTGTTTATCCTAATGATTATGAAACCAAAGTGACAATTAACAATTTACTCCCAACATCAAGAAGAAAGAAACAGAACAGAAAGCCTTTTATAGAAAGCACGTAGCAGAGAGAAAACAAGCAACGACCCCCAAGCATAAAAATTAAAACGAAAACAAATCAACCTTCAAATTAAAACCAAGAACACAGCATCAACCTTCATAAAAATAAACACTTTTGATGCCTTGTATTAGTAGTTCACAAGTAAGAGATAGTGAGTTATATCATAATCCACAAAAAAATCTCTAATTCAATTATCTTAAAGCAACGTGATCATAGCAGACTATTTGAGATGTTAATGAAAGCATTCAATTTTCTGACTTTTTGAATATCAGACCTCAGTTCATCAAAGGGAAACCCTTCCTCGTTCCATGTACTGTTTCCTCTGATAAACTCCCATTTCATCTCCTCTGGATAAACTCTATAGCCCAAAATCAGGGTTTAAACAAGTGAATTTCATCGCACAAAAGCAATGAAATTCGAAGCAACAGAAACTGAAATCTACCTCATTCTCGGAGAACCCGCCTGCAAAAGAAACGAATTGAAACAAAATTCGAAAATTAGTTGGGTTACCCAGAAAGATCAAATCGGATCAAGAATAATGGAAAGAGAAGAAGATAGAGAATTACCGTTGCTTTTGTTGCCATGTCACTAAGGACTCAGTCCTTAAACACCTTATCTAAGGATTGCTCCTTACCGATCTGAGTCTTGTTATTGTTTTTTTATTGAAATCACCCTAGGTTAAAGCGCTAAGGATTCATGAAATACCTGCGTTGCGGATGGTCTAATGAGATAAAAGTTATTCGAGTTTGGTTTGACATTTTTCCATTTAGAATTACCATGACGGTACTCTAT